ATATAAATATATATATATATATATATATATATATATATATATATATATATATATATATATATATATATATATATATATATATATATATATATATATATATATATATATATATATATATATATATATATATATATATATATATATATATATATATATATATATATATATATATATATATATATATATATATATATATATATATATATATTTATATATATATATTTATATATATCTTTATATTTATCTTTATATTTAAAGATTTTTGAAAGTTGCAATAAAAATGTTATTTATAAATTTTAAAAAAATTATTAAACGTCATTTTTGAAACGTAAATACATCAAATTCCGTCAGTTGCATCACATCGTATCACATGAAGCTTTGTGACGTCACATTCCATCATTTTATATCTCTTTGTTCCATCCCCATCGCATTGTCACTTTGCAACATCACAGCAACTTTGCATCAAACAACATCACATCAAACATCTCATCACATCAACTTCACATCAAACAACATCACATCAAACATCTCATCACATCAACTTCACATCAAACAACATAACATCAAACATCTTATCACATCAACTTCACATCAAACAACATCACATCAAACATCTCATCACATCAACTTCACATCAAACAACATCACATCAAACATCTCATCACATCAACTTCACATCAAACCACATCACATCAAACATCTCATCACATCAACTTCACATCAAACAACATCACATCAAACATCTCATCACATCAACTTCACATCAAACAACATAACATCAAACATCTTATCACAGCAACATTCGATCGCATTACATCACTGTACCTCAAAATTGACGCTAATCTTCTAGCAAACTGCGTCCAACCAGGTACTTACTATTACGTTGTACATAATGGTCAGTCCTCATTACATGAAATTATTTCACGTCTCGAGCTTTTGTGTAAATGGAATCCACTTATTTACCAAAAACATTTATATACAACGCCGTCCTCATCATGCAAAACATAACATAACACAAAACATTTCACATAACATCACTAGGAAACAAACACAACGTTATACACATCAACATCACTTATCATTTAAAATCCTATCACATGGTATCAGAAATTTTTACACAAAAAAAATCAGGCAGTTGTTTTACAACAAAAAGCACGTTCTACTCCGCCGGCACACCCCACCACATCCCATCAACTGACGCAACATCAAACCAACTAACATTGCATTAGTAATGGAAGATTTTCCAACTAAATTGTTACCAAACAATTTTTTTACCATTATGTTTGTAAAGGTGTCTACTAACATGGGTTAAAATATTGAAACTCAATTAGAGTGGGAAATGCCTAAAAAACGTTGTTTAAATTAAGATATCGAATAACAATTTTTGAAAATTTTATTACAAATATTTTGAGTTAAACAAATAATTTTTAATCATTCCTAACACGTGCTTTGCATTTATATTTCACCATATGCACTTGATTAATGAAAAATCACATTTTACTGTCATGTTTTAATTTTAGGATTGCTTGTTGTGTGGTTTAAGATGGATGATAACGTTGGTTCTGTGGCGTTTTTTTATCTGTTTTATCTGTGGCGACCCGAACACACCGGCTCAGTGGTTCATACAAGAAACTTCGAAAGGCTTTTTTACATTATTAAAGCATGGAAAAGTGGTCAATGACTATAACATTTTGGGACGTGTACAGGAAGCTCAGAAAACTAAAAACATGTAGAAATGACCTATACAACAATTTTGTTGAGATCACTAAAAAATCGTCTCAAGATTTGCAGGCACAGAAAGATTTATCAAAGATCAACAAAAGCGCACTTCCTCCGAGTTCAGTGCGTCTGCTGGATGTAGTTCCACAAATTCGTCATCAAGTCGCCTTCCATATTTATGCATAAGATTTATGCATTCTTAGCAACTAACCCGCTCAACTTTACAAAAATAACCCGGCTGAAACTAGAAAGAAATACAGAGTGACAGACAATTTGTCTGAAGTGAGCTAAAAGCAATCTTGCCAAGGGCAGCAAAGAAGAGGGGATAAGCTACTTGGTAGCAGAAGAAACATTGTATCATTCGCGATGTAAACTATTTTTTGAGAGAGGTGGATATTACTTAAAAAATGATGAAGAAGGAAAGAGGCAAAGGAAAATTGATGAAAACAAGTAACTGTTTTTGTCAATGATTTGAATCAGAAATAGAGCATGGAATAACTAAACTTGACCAAGTCCACACTAAACAGCAGAAGTCTGATCAGTCACCAGATAAATCTTCACTTATTTAAAGTATTGGCTAAAAATAAAACACAAAGAAAAATATCATGACACGTTGTTGTACTTCACAAAACAGAAGAAAAGGACAGACGTTCTTTGCTTCTACGATTGCACTGACATTTTGCGAGGGCATCGCACTAATCTTGAACATGAAGACGAGAAAACATTGGAAGAAATTTTCTACAACATGTTTTCAAGAAAAGCACCAGCAGATGTGATCAAACCAGAAACTCTACCTCCAACAGAGGGTGCAGCTGCACAACATTCACTGCGTGCCTACCTGCAGACCAGGGACGGGACCCTTTTACAAATCATGTCTCTGAAACCAATCGACTATGAATGGGCATAACGTGAATATGGGTATGAGCCAGTTCCTACACTAAACCCTATGACTTCGAAGGAACTACTGAAGCTAACAAGATGTAATTGTAAATGAGATTGCAACAACAGACCCTGCGGCTTTAAGAAGAATGGGGTCACATGTGCCTCAGTCTAGAATTTGCAAGAAATTACATGCAAGTTTTGCATTTATGATGATAAGTTTGACGAAGACATAAACAATGAAATTTGAGGCATTTGACATTGTGAATAACAATAACTGTGATTGTAATTTAGCAATTTTTAAAGGAAAACATTTTTAAAATTTTGTTTTTTTGAAAATTGTCCATCCATAGCCTAACTTCAATAATTTTTTTTATGGTATTTCCCACAGGAATTGAGTTTCAACATTTTAACACGTTACTACACACCATTACAAACATATTGGTGAAAAATTATCATGTAACCATTTAGTTGGCAGATTTTTGAAATTTCCGATAAAATGCCCTTACTGCATGACTTTATCGGTCATAAATGTTGCATATTTGATGTTCATTATTGCATTATGCATTCTAGCATAGCCTACGCTTTCATGCAAAAAAGCATCCAACATAAATTGCTTCTGTTGTTTTTAACCGACTGCATTTAAAGGTTTCATCGAGGAAATGTTTGTTAAGTTCTCCCCCGGGAAGTCAACTCATGTATGCCATGCAATTTAATCTCGTTCCGCATCAATTACTTCCAATTCGTTCTACATTTTCTGATGCCCTTTTATGCTATTCTACATTTTCTGCCATTTCTGCAGTTTAAAAACATCAGTGAGAAAGATGACGATGGATGAAAGCAATTAGTAAATAAATGTTTCAAATAACGTTTGGGGGTGAAAGTTATAGCCGCTTTCACAATCGTTTCAAATTTTCATACGAAACGTTAAAACTTCGTTCATCTTATACTGAAAATAAAATTTTGTCGATGGCAAACTTCATAAAAAAACTGATGCATAATTTAGTTTAAAAATAAAATAAATTAATTTAATGCAGAAGATATTTTGAAAGAATTGAAATTATGATTGATGTTTGTTCACCATTAAATTGATAGAGTAATGAATTTTATATTACTTGTTTTCATGTTATCTACTAATGTTATATCAACAAATATCGTCTAAAATACTGAAAAATAACTTTACTGCCTCTTATAAATGACTATAGATAATTAAAATATTTCATTATATTAATACTTCGAAACTCAAAGTTTGGAAAATAAACCAACAAATGTTCGTCGCGGTTTAACATTTGAAAAATGTATACAAATAATAATCATGGACAATGGACATAAGCGGCGCAACCAGGGTTTTGTTTCGGGGGAGGGAGTTAAAATACAGTTTTTCTTTACAGAGTTCGAACTATGACAAATGAATAAATAGAGCAACAAAAAATAAAATAGGAAAAATACTATCAAAATATAAATGTAAATAAACTAAAAACTATTATTTTTATTATAACAATTAAATTATAGATAACAGACAACTTAATTTATACAAAAAATTTTTTCAAACTGAATATGTCTGGCATTTAAATTATGGTGAACGTTTAACAAAACTAGCCAATTTCGGTTCGTTTTTTGGATTTTTATTTTATCTCTTATTTTGATTGTTTAAAAATATTTAAAGCTTTGTAGGCTATAGCTTTTTTTGTGGCAATTTGACACCGGTAAAGTTGCCAAAATTTGAAGTAGAATGTATATATATATATATATATATATATATATATATATATATATATATATATGGTTACAAACTTTTATCACACAAATCTTGGGCATACTAAAGCGGATTTAGAAGATAATTTTTTGGAGGCAAAACTAGCTTTCCATACTTCTCGTATGCCTGAAGACTATTTCAAGTCTTTACACTATTTTATTATATATATATATATATATATATATATAAAACAAATAAAAATAAATAACATACAAATAAACAAAAGATAATTAAATGAAATTAAACATAATTGAATTGGTGCAAAAAAATGTGTGACGTGCCACAAATTTGCTCTTCCAGACGTTTTCAACAATTTTTGAAATACTTTCGAGATTAAATTATCAAACTAAAAATCTTATGATTTCTTAAAAAATTGAACCAGCTTCTACTGCAAAAATAAAATGAAACTTTATCTCTCCCGCCCTGAATTAGCATATTTACTCCATAACGCACATACTCATGTCGTACAATAGAATTGTCTGTACAGTGTACACATAAAGACATATTCATGCATTTGAAAATACACTGTCATGAGTTTTTCATGCATAACGATTACAATTACTAAATATTATTTATTTTATTATAATGGTAAACTTCGGCTGTGAGTGCGCCAGTTGTTACTGTAACCATCACTCTCATGAACATTAACGACGTTGAAGCTCATTAATTACAATCATAAATATGCCTTACATTCAAAGTATTTTAACCAAATTTTAACGCTGCCAATATGTTGCTAAAAGTACAATAAAAAAAATGTTTAATTTTTAGAAATATCAACAAAAATTCAAATTATTTTTTTTACAATGGCTATATGCAAACAAAACAGATCAAATTATGAAATATTTTATTTATTTTGGAGAGGCGGGGCTTTGAACCCCCCCCCCCTCCCGGCTAGGCCAATGTAGACAAAGCGGATGGATGCACGAAAGTAAATATAAAAATATTGAACAAAAATTAACGAAGAAAATAATTCTTTGAGTGAAATTTTTTGCACTCACTCGACGAAAATAAGGAGCTTATTGAAATGATGTTGAGCAATTGTATGAACAAGATAGTCTCGTGAAATCTCCATGCACCGAAACAAGCAGCAGATTAGCGGTTCTTCAAGCAGGATAGTGATATTTTTAAGCAAAATTATTCTATTCACCATTAGAAATAAGCGTGAGATATTGTTTATAGTTATAATTAAGATTCAAAAATAATGAAATAAGATCATTGTTATTATTATTTGTATTATTATCTCGCTTATATCAATTTCTTATGTTTGATTGTTGGTTTGTTTGCCAAAGAATCTTGTAATCGATTTTTCGAAAACTCCCCGTCATTCGATTGAACTGCGATTTTGCTAATTTCCGATGACAACTCATGAAATAATCAACAGATTTAATTATATTTTCTTAAACAATAGACAACTATAATAAAATAAACATATGATCTGACAAATTAATCATGTTAAATATGCCTCTGCATTGTTTTTTGATGGATTGACATTGGTTTTAGAAAACATTTCTGTTTCATCTGACTTTTTGGTTGTTGCTGGTGATTTTAATGCTCACATTGAAAGATGTAATGAATTAAATGCCATAAAACTGTTGGATATTTTTAAGTCGTTCCAAGTTTGTTGTCGAGTTGATGGACCTGCCCATATTTTGGGTGGAACACTCAATCTCGTCGTTTCATCGGTTGATTTTCCACCTACGGATTGCACGATATTTCCATGTGGTGTTCATTCAGACCATAGCTTCATCAAGATTATTTTTCCGTTTGTTTATAGGAAGCCTACTATATTAAAAAATTAGTTCGGTTATGGGATCGTATCAACAGTACATTGTTTGAAAATCTTGTTTCTCAATCGTTTATTAGTGGTCCGTTTGATTTAAAAGATCCTGATGTTATTTACAATTTGTTTGTCAAAGAGATGCAATCAATTGTTAATGCAATTGCCCCACTGCATTACGTTAAGTCCAATGATACCAACATTGCTCCCTGGTTTAATGATCAATGCAGACGTATGAAAAGAGCTTGCCGTAAATTGGAAAAAGCATATCGAAAAAACCCTAAAGATGTTAATAAAATTGCCTGAAAAAAGGCTCTGTTTTCAAAAAATTCTGTTTACACTGAATCAAAAATTTGTATTTCAAAAACTTGATCCTTGTTCATAAATCTAGTCCTAAAAAATTGTGGGCAACTATTAATAAATTATTAGGTAAATCATCCACCAGTCATTCAGTTGACGAATCTAATATAAAGTTTACCCCAACAAAATTTGCCACATTTTTTAGTGATAAGATTAAAAAAGTTAGAGAACATACAAATTCCTTGCTTGAGCCTCCCAGTGCTCCTAGTGATTTAGGGTTGTCTGACTCGTTCAGTTTTTTTATTCCATGTTCTGGTGATGAAATTAAGAAAGTTGTGCTCGGTTCACCATCAAAGACATTTTTCTATGACATTATTCCTGTGCATATTTTCAAACAATATATAGATTTGTTCATACCGGTTCTCACATTTTTTATCAATTTGTGTTTTGACACTGGTTATTTTCCTAAGGCGTTAAAACATGCCGCCGTGACTACCTTATTAAAAAAACCATCTCTTGATAAGGATGATATCGCCCGATTTCCAACCTCTTGTTTTTATCAAAAGTCGTTAGTTCTAAAACACTTTTTAATTAAATTGAATGTGCATGGTTTAATTCCAATCCATCAGTCTGGTTACAGGCAGTATAACTCTACTGAAACTGCTCTGATCGAAATTTCTTCTGAATTGTTTGCATCTATGGATTTACAAAATGTTTCACTTTTAGATTTATTAGATATGAGCGCTGCGTTAGACTGGGTCGAACAATCACTCCTTGTTCATAAACTCAAACTTCGTTTTGGAATTGCCGGTGCGATTGCTTCATGGTTCGATTCCTATTTGATTGGTAGGACGCAACAGGTTCGTTTCAATAATTTTTTGTCCAACGTCAAAGTTGTTATTTCCGGTGTGCCCCAAGGTTCGGTTTTAGGGTCTCTTTTGTTTATTTTGTACATTATCCTATTATTGAAAAAAATGGTTTCAGATATCATTGCCTTTGCGGATGATTTGCAAATAATTGGTTGTGGTAACACAGACCTGGGTTTTGAGGCGGTGGTTGATAGATTTTTTTGTTGTTTTAATGGATTAAGTAAATAGATAATAAATAATAAACAAAAACTAAACAAAAACAAAACATAAATTCTGCCTGTCGGTACTTGGCAGCAATTAAAAAAGATTAATATTAATTCCGTCAA